AAATTATACACAAGGTCAAGATGACTGTCAAATGACTCCGATGCAGGATGGGAATCTGCTCGTTCTGCTAACTGAACAACAGAGCAGTGTTTCATCAGGCATTTCAAACTAAAAGCAGTGCACATTCCTGCTGCATTCTTTAAAATAATCTGTGTTGTATTCATGGTGTTTGATCTTTGAGCAGCAGATAAACAACTAAGGGGAGGCTTTAAACCTTCAATGTCTTTTCAGGCAATAATGGAGCCATGTCAAGGTTCAGGTTTGGCTTGCACGGACTGGCTGCATGTCAAGACGAGCATTTTGGTGTTTGGTAGTCACACTTACTTGCTCTGTGGAGTGGGAATTTTTTCTTTGATGCTGCTCAGAACAATATAGTTACACAGAAGTCATCATAAACAGTGAGAAGAGAAACTGACACAAAAACAGACTGAAACGTCATTTTAAAATGCACGAAAACTGGCTGCAGGACTCCAGTGGTTTGGGGGAGGCGAGCTTTTATAGGAAGGGGGTAATTTTCTGGGGTTCAGTGCATAGATCAGGGTGTGGATCAGTGTAAAGCTAGTGGAGGGGAGAAAGAACTTTTTGCAGTTTTAGACATGCATGAGTAAGTTTGTTGCCTGTCAGAAGTAGAACATTTTTTTTATTAAAAAACAAAAAAACATAAAAGAGCCAGAAAGCTAACAGAAAATCCAAATAAGAGGAGGCTACAGGCAAAATAAAGAAACCCCAAAACCCCAAAAAAGAAAACCAGTCATGTCATGAAAAATACCTGATCTACAGGTGCAAGATATTTCAGATTCTCAAGATAAAATACCATCAAAAACAAGGTAACAGGGGTAAGTCACTGTGGGTGCTGAGGATGTATTGCAAGAGGAAGAAAACGCTAAGATTCAGAGGTGACATGGGATGGTGATTGATGCTACAGAAAGCGAGCAAATACCCACCTATTCATGATTAAATAGACACGCCCATTGACTTTGGCGTGGCTGTGAGTGAAACAGGCGGAGAAGATAGATAGCAGCAGGTGATGGAGGGAAGCAGAGGGAAGAAGAGCTGAGCAAGTGGTAGCAGAACAACAAAATCCACAAAAACAACGCTAAAGTTAAATGACCCATGCCACAGACTGTGAAATGTGGATGTTATGACACACAGCTGCACGACACAGCACGCAATGACCGATGAGGTTACAGCGGCCATATGACAAGGTGTGACATAAAAGCGGATGAACTGGGTTTTACATGCATACTTCGTGAGTAGTGGAAATTTATTGCAATAATTATCTACTAATTAATTTGCACTGGAGTTGTGAAGTACAAAATGTAACAAGCAGAAGTCGGGGTGGGGCGGCACAGCAAACTAAAGACTGACTGATATATCGGATGACCAATATACTGCATTACTGCATGACCGCATGGGCCAATATTTTCCGATATATCAGGCATATCATTTTCATTTACTGGCTGATAAATGAAAATTTAAAAAAGCAAAGAGGAAAAAGGGGAAACACCCTTCAGCGATGTTATGAGTGCTTACGTTGCATAGTTTGCCCAACAGAGGGCACTATTCTCCACAATTAATCCACAATAAAACAAGTTTATTTTTATTCTGCACTATCTTGGTATGAAATTGTAAAAAACTACACATAATAAATGTTAGGGAAATCTGTTTGTGTGCATGAAACAAAGCAAAATACTGACCGATATTTTGGATTTTTAGATCACCAAATATCGGTATTGGTGTCGGTCGGGCTCTACAGCAAACCAAAAGCTTCCAAGTTACAAGGAGAAAAGACACTTAGTTTCAAAGCAAAGAAAATGTACTTACAATGATTCTGAATCACGATAACCCCATAAAACCAACTTTTCTACCATTTCTATATCTAAACAACTTCCCATCACTTTACTGTTGTTATAAGTATGAATTGAAAAAAAGCAGCATGTGTCTCACCTGTAGATAGTGCTCTCTTCTTTAGCCACTACAGCCTGGAGGTCAGTGAGCTGGAGAAAGCGGTCATGGAAATAGTGCAGGTGGAGAATACACGCCAGCAAGAAGGACGTGGGAATGAAAATCCTGATGAACAGCTCGCCCAGCTCGAACTGCTTCAAGCCCAGGGCTTCCAGACTGCATTCACAAACATTTCAAAGGAAACAGAAAACTGTGAGATTAAGCTTAAATCACTCCCAAGGTTACTGTGTGAAGAACTGCTGAGGTTTGGAAGACTGAGCACAGCAAAGCTGAATATTGACTCTGTAGATAAAATCTAATCTATTCATCATCTAATACTACCAGGTGTTTATATAACGTTTTGTAATAATTATATGTTGGGGGTTTATTGTGACATCATAGCAATCTACAGTATGACCTTAAACCAAAAGACTTTATTCTGTTTACGTAAAAATGTAAAGAAATTCTCACATAAATGTGACCCTTACCCTTTAAATCACTGTAATTATAGTTAAAGTACTTAAGGTAATTTAGTCAAATTTGCCAACACAGCAAGCGTGACGAAGCACTGGCACCTATGTTTGAGACTGGGAGGTCTGAAAACTAAATCTGAACCAAACTCAAAATAAAAATGAAATAAAAAAATAAAAAAATATAACCACCACAATGGTATGTTACAGAAAAACAGTTTAATATCATAGTGCCCCTGGAGACAGCTGTCACGAGTAATCAGGCACACTGTAACAATATCATTTTCTGTTTATTGGCTTTTAACAACCACATATCAACTATAGTTGATTATATTTGTATGGCTGAGTATATTAACATAACTAAGTATACTACGTGAGGTAGTGTGTAGGTATATTTCTTTAAACAAGAAGTAGTAGTTTCAGTCTTTCCTGTAGCTTTTTTCATTACTAAAATATGCAGGTTCATCTTGAAGAGCTGTGAGGCAACTATGCTCTATAAATTGGAAGAACAGATACATACTAAAGTAGTTTTACTAGAACTGAACTGCTACAATTTGTAATAGATTTTTTAGGTAACATCATGAATATCCACCTATATGTCTACTTAAAAGAAATCAAAGAAAATAAGACATCTGTGAATTCTGTTCTAAAATTTTCCTCCATCCCCAACTAAAGCCACTATACATATGCTTTGCTACGCTAGCAGGGCAAAGCTACTAAAATAAACAAAACAAAACAAAAAACCTCAAGACAAAGTTGGTTTGATGACTAAGCCATAAGCTGTGCCTCTCTGGGAAACGCAGTAGGCAGTGAGTCAGTAGCCTGCCGCTCAGACCGGCAGTTGCTCAGTGGCGCTCACCCTTTTTTATCCAGGCCTGTCATGTTACCCCAGGTGTGTATTGACTCAGGAAACTGGAAGGTGTAGACAACTGTGAGAACCAGCATGGTGTACATAACCACCGACATCCAGAAGTACTTCAGGATCCTTCGCCACCACTCGTAGTG